CAGACGCCAGACACTCGCATCAAAAGCATTTGCATGAATTTTGCATAAAAAAACAAAAAAATTTCTTCGCTTCGCGAACATCCATATTTTGTTTTCAACTCTAGTACTCCACACACACTACAAGGCTTGCTCCAGACACTCGCACCAAAAGCATTTGCATGAATTTTGCATAAAAAAACAAAAAAATCCTCGCTTCGCGAACATCCATATTTGGTTTCAACTCTAGTACTCCACACACACTAATTACAAGGCTTGCTCCAGACACTCGCACCAAAAGCATTTGCATGAATTTTGCATAAAAAAAAACAAAAAAATTCCTCGCTTCGCGAACATCCATATTTGTTTTCAACTCTAGTACTCCACACACACTACAAGGCTTGCTCCAGACACTCGCACCAAAAGCATTTGCATGAATTTTGCATAAAAAACAAAAAAATTTCCTCGCTTCGCGAACATCCATATTTGTTTTCAACTCTAGTACTCCACACACACTAATTACAAGTCTTGCTCCAGACACTCACACCAAAAGCATTTGCATGAATTTTGCATAAAAAAAAACAAAAAATTTCCTCGCTTCGCGAACATCCATATTTGTTTTCAACTCTAGTACTCCACACACACTAATTACAAGGCTTGCTCCAGACACTCGCACCAAAAGCATTTGCATGAATTTTGCATAAAAAACAAAAAAATTTCCTCGCTTCGCGAACATCCATATTTGTTTTCAACTCTAGTACTCCACACACACTACAAGGCTTGCTCCAGACACTCGCATCAAAAGCATTTGCATGAATTTTGCATAAAAAAAAACAAAAAATTTCTTCGCTTCGCGAACATCCATATTTGGTTTCGACTCTAGTACTCCACACACACTACAAGGCTTGCCCCAGACACTCGCACCAAAAGCATTTGCATGAATTTTGCATAAAAAAACAAAAAATTTCCTCGCTTCGCGAACATCCATATTTGTTTTCAACTCTAGTACTCCACACACACTACAAGGCTTGCTCCAGACACTCGCACCAAAAGCATTTGCATGAATTTTGCATAAAAAACAAAAAAATTTCCTCGCTTCGCGAACATCCATATTTGTTTTCAACTCTAGTACTCCACACACACTACAAGGCTTGCTCCAGACACTCGCATCAAAAGCATTTGCATGAATTTTGCATAAAAAAACAAAAATTTCTTCGCTTCGCGAACATCCATATTTGTTTTCAACTCTAGTACTCCACACACACTACAAGGCTTGCTCCAGACACTCGCACCAAAAGCATTTGCATGAATTTTGCATAAAAAACAAAAAAATTTCCTCGCTTCGCGAACATAGCAAAGGGTTTCAATTTTCCACACACATAGTCTATTACTCTGTTACTCCATTACTCTATTATTCTATTACTCTATTACTCTATTACTCAAATACTCTAGTACTCTATTAGTCTATTACTCTATTATTCTATTACTCTATTACTTCACTACTCGATTACTCATATTTGTTTTCAACTCTAGTACTCCCACAAAGTGGGTGTTTTCACCCAAACCCTAAACCCTAAACCCTACACCTTTAGACCCGAACAACCGTAAGCCCTAAACCCTAAACCTTTAAACCCTGAACCTCGGAAGTTGGCACCCTAAACTTTGTGGGCCCCGAAGCTGACCAATACTAGACCTAGAATCTTTAAACCCTAAACCTCGGTGTTCCATTTTGGCAGGTCCTCGAGCCGTGCCAGGAAGCCTAAACCATGAGCCTTAAACCCTAAACCGTGTTTAAGCCTCAAATTGAAACCCTCACATAATTCGCATTTCTGCCACAATCTTCCAAATAATTCGTTTTTCTTCAATAATCTTCCAAATAATTCGTTTTTCTTCAACAATCTTCCAAATAATTCGTTTTTATTCATTCTTATTCTTAAATCTTCGGCGGCTGTTGAGAAGTACCAGTGAAGTACCCCTGCCGAGAAGTACCCCTGGGCTCATGAATGATGTATGGCCTTTGCAGGTCTTGCAGATAATTCTACCATGGACCTGGCAGTTTCCTCTTGGAGCTGTCAGATGAACAACGCAACAACAACTACGACTACGGCCATCACACACTGTACAGCTCGGTGGCACCTAAGCTTGCGTAGTGAGCTGGGCTGCTTGGGGACAACAGTCAGGCTAAGACCCGATGCACCACACAGGTGCGCTGGCATCGCTGAGTAAAGCGGGCAAAGCTCGACACTGGAGACCATTTCAGGCATGTGCTCTGGAAGGCGCAGACAATGCAGCAAGACACAGGCGGAATCCATGGACAGTAACCCGTGAGCTATGCGAAAAACCTCTGAAGTAAGCATTGCCCAGCATTGCCCCCTACCAGTCAATCGTTGATCGGTTCGAACAAGAATGAAACCGCGTGCTCCAAGAGAGCTGCTTTGCTTTGCAATCTCGAATGTTTTCGCTGCTGAAAGAGTCGGAACGAGTGCATTTCAAGTGAGCTGCTCGGCTTCTAAGCACAGAGAGACTGCAATTCAACATCCATCCGTCGTCGGTGACTTGACTTGACATACACTGGCCCCCCCCACCATTGGCCTCGAGATTTGAGCTCTTTGGGCAGCATAAGGATGGCGCATACACAGGCTGAAGGCAAGGCGCTACGCACAATCTACGTTAATGGAGTGCTGATTTTTTTTTGGAGGGGGGGGCCTAGAAACCCGAAAAACCCAAACCCAAGAACCCAAACCCAAAACCGGAAGGTACCTCTCTGAGGCACGGGGCACGTTTGCTCCATCCAGCTTCTCCTCGAAGTACCTGCCACGTTGTGCAGGGGGTGGAGTGACTCATGAGCCGCTGTGTGGGGGGAGCATGGCACAGACTACACCGGATTTTCCTCACGCGCTGGCTGGTCCAGCAATGCTGCGATGCACTTATGGCCAAGCGGACTACATATGAAGAACCCCTAGAGAAGAGAACCAAAATCGGGCATACAACCCTGAAAGCAGTTGCTCGGCACCTTGGTTGTATCATGACGACGAGGCTCCAGGCTCTAGGTGATCCTCGGCGCCTTGCTTGCATTGGCAGGGTTCCAGGTCCCAGGTGTCCCTTGGCTCTTAGACACACCTGGGAACCTGTGTAAAACACGCTGTGAACGCTGCTTTGCTTCTTGCTGTACTGCCGCTACTGCCCTGCTTGCGCCACCTTGTTTCACCTCTCCTTGCCACTCCACCTGCACTGCCGCGCTGCTTCTACCTTGCAACTTGCCTGCACTGACTGCACTGCACTGTCTGTCCTTGCCCCTTTCCTTCTTCTGTCTCTCGTCTGAGGGCTCCCTGTCACCTCTGTCCAGCTTTCTCCTTTCACTGTCTTTCTGTGTCATTCTGTGTCGCTAGGGCTCTTCGGGTTCTATGGTATCCATCCTTCCGCTGCTACTGTATGGCATGCCCTCCTTTCTTCCGATAGAAACCACTAACCCGCGGACCGAGCTGACGCCATGGGGGCTCTGCCATGACCTGCGGGAAAGTGTGGGACGCCTGTGCACCCAACCACCATGAGCAGCGAGTGGCCCTACTCCACTCTGCGCATGACTGCATCCACGTACTCTCTGATAGGCTGCTTGAGCCCACGGACTGGGAATCGAGGAACCTTGTGACCATTCTGCAACACAGCACTGAGCTCGGGCTGGGATGGAATCCCGCAACTGCTGATGCTGCAGTGGGGCCTTCCACAGAGGCTGCGAATGCGACCCGGGACGCCTACTGCTGGCACGTTGGGTTTGGGTATTGGCTCCTGGTGACTGGAGGCTCTACGCGAGTACGACCGCCTACTGCTGACACGTGAGGGTTTGGGTGTTGGTTCGGGGTGACTGGAGGCTCTACGATGTCTCTGTGACATGACCTTTGCCTCAACTCGGATCACGACGTCGCAAGTGGAGTTACTGCAATTAGGAGCTACCCGAGTATCAACGCCGCGGGTGTCTCATTATCAAACTGCACTATGCCGTGGGTACCGACACAATATCTGGCGGTGCGGGACGCCCGAGTGTCGGTCTCGTTGTCACAGGGCTGCGTAAAGGGGCTCCTCGATGTCTGTGGTGTCGCGTCGCTCTTCAGCAATGGACATGGTTTTGAGGAGGTGAGGTGAGCCTGCAGCGCAGCTGTGTCCTTCAAAAGAAAATCAAGACCTCGTATCAAGAAACTTATGTAGGCCTGTGCAGCTGGGTCGGAATAGTATGTGGCACTACCTTAGTGTTGTATCTCGCTGTTTCTCATGTCGAGCCGATCCTAGCCTGCCAGGGCAAACTTGGCACTGAGCACTGTTTCAGTCACAACGTGGCAACCTTTGGCCAGCTACTTAATATGTAGGGGATTGTTTTTGTTGCGTCCTTCGCGCAGATAGGTTGGGTTGTGACTTAGGCTGACGTGAACTGTACTAGAATAGTCGGCCGGATCTTTCGCACACTTGTCACCTGCAATGCAGTCGCCAGACTCGCCAAGCGGGAGCCAAAAACATACCCTGTAGAATACTTTGAAGAAGAACGCCTTTGATTGATACATCCTGTATACCTTATGTATGCCATATAGAATAATCATACAGTACTATTCAGGATACCCTATTTAATCCTTTATATAAAACCCGAAAAAGTACCAACCACTACCTGTTCTTTTGGCAGAATGTTCCCTTCAGATGCCCCGAAGCCGCGTGTGCGATGAAGTTGCTTTGGACATGTACGAATTCAAGTTGGATGTGTGGCAAAGCTGAACCTTGCAGGCTTTGGGGGCATTGCTACAGGCGCTCGGTCAGGAATATGATGAGGCCACTGCGACTGCCCCGGATGATTCTGTTGATTTCTGTTGGCGCATTTTGCTTATGCCAACCCACCCTGAAGTGCGCTACTCAAGTGTCAAGACTTGATATGCATCTGAGATGCGACTTGTTAAACACTGACGGATATGCTCACATCCTGTTGGGTCTAGGAGTTCGGGCATTACGCAGGGGGTCGAGCCTGGACCAGCGCATCGAAGGTCATGAAGCCCGATATCCACAAGACCGAATGTACCGTGGGAGGTCCTTGTCTGAGGCAGTGATGCCTCCAACGCCGTAGCAGTGCCAGTTGCAGAACTGAGGAAAGTGGAAAGTGGAGCTGTTGTACTTGTATGCAGATTGTCCTACTGAAAAAACGGTTGCGCTGTGCTTGGCAAAGATTCCTGGGCTGCTGGACGTCGCTGAATCGTCTGTGGCCCGAGGAGAAGCCAGTGGAAGTTGTAGTGGAAAAGGAGGCCGCTGACAGCATTTTTTCAGCAGGGAATGTTGAACGTCGCTGGTCGGCCACGGACCTGACCACGTTGAGGTACCCTTCATCGTCGAAGTGGAAAGGTCAGGGCAGTTGTTTTAGCTTGCTGCATTGGCAGGGATGACCTGTGTTTGTTATGGTCGGAGGTCGCGAGGAGTCGAAGCCTCCACAGGCCTTTGCAAAGTTGCGTGCTGTCCGAGAAGCTGTTGAATCATTGTCTCGTACATTCGAGTACTCGCAGGCTCACAGACCACAGCGCTTTGGTGCGCGTATTGTGGTGCCCCTTCATGCATTGATCACTGTGCAAGGCTGCTGTCGCCGCGTTTCCAGAATTGGCAGAGTTAGTGTTGCACGAGGTGCTCCTGGTCACAGCATCGCGGAGTGCCCGCTTCTCCGGTGGGCAGCATGAAGCTGTCAAATGTTGCAAGGCGCAGAAGAGAATGTCTTCTCATTGCCTGCCCTTCTGCGAGGCTGCAGCAGCAAGTTCGTCAGATGGAGCTCGAAAGCAAAAAGCCCAAGCACCAAGACTGCCAGCTCTGTGGATGCCTTGGTTGCTCGAGACTTCCAGGATCGCGAAAGGGAAGCTTGCAGCATCAGATTCTTACTCTATGCGTCTGAAGAGAATTCCATTCAATCTTGGTCCGCATAAGTATCAGACGCCTTACACGTAAGGAACCCCAATGTACGTACATACATAACCACCGCAGCCCACTTCCGCCTTGCTACGCAATCGTTCCTGCACCATGCTGACACCAAGGGTTCCTGCGCAAAATGCGGTGTTGGCAGCGAAACGGCATCACATGTCAGTCAGTCTTCTTCGACACGGGCGTTGCATCTTCTGCGGAAACACTTCTCTCTTGCTGCAGCTGGCCATCGAAGCTTGCCTTAGGCTAGGGACCCTCCTCGACGACGCTTTAGTTGGCAATTGAGATCCTTGTGTCTAATGCAGAATGGTTGAGAGCTGCCGATGAACAGTCGCTAGCTGTTAACCGTCCAAGATGATAGCGTATTATATTTTTATAATACTTGAAAGCTTTTGATTTTATGCTTTTGCCTGTTGTCCTCGAATCAAGAATATGGCGGCAGGAAGACGCTGCCCTAGACTAGAGCGCCCCAAATTTGCAGGAACCACCAAACTCCAATGCACTGCCTTCTGCTTCGCCTTTCGTGTCCTTTACTCGAAACCAGGATCTCAGGCAGCAGTGCATCTTGTGAGTCGCGAGCATCTTTCCCAATGTTCGAAGGGCCGTCTGAATTTGTGAATCTTTCGAAGAACCTAATTAAAGCTCACCAGGCCCTTGTCTGCTTTGCATGCAGTGATCTCCATATTTCTCACTTCAGAATAGAGTGCCGCAAGCCGCAAGCGCCTCCATACCATAGGTGGAGATGCTGATCATTTGGCACCAAGCTGCCCAACACTGCGACGACCAACCTGTTTTGATGCTTGTGCCAGACCCTCAGCATTGCAGGTGCACCAAAGTTTCGACAAAAACAGTACCACGCACACCAAACTCACCAAACAAAGCTGGACCCTCCGGATGCAACGGCAGAGAGAGAGAGAGAGAACGGACGTGCAGTTCGGGTAGCCAATCGTACAGAACAAGGTGAGGTAGCGTGATGATCCATACAAGGACGACACAGTCGGAGAATCATGGTTGCTATACTGACTGCCTCAGTGTCACATTGCTGCATGCTGTTGTTGCGAAAGCCAAGCCCGACTGTGAAGTCCGTCAAACCACGGTCAACAAGCATGGGGGAAAATACCCCAGACATGACCCACGTTGTGATATACACTAACCTGAACATGCCGGGGGATGTGCGATACTGTGTTGCCTGTTTTTTCGTTAATACTATGTCCTTGTTTCTTCGCGAACACAGACCCCGGGGACTGCAAAAGGACAACGATGTCACGTGTGAACGGCAAATTACCCCGGTAGGTATCATCGTATCGTCTGGCATTGTATTGAAACGTGGCATGTATTCTAGATAGGAGCCGGGGGAAACACCTTCACAGACTTTCGCACCCCTCCACAAGCCTCCATAAACATCGGGGGGGCCTTTAAGGCCGAGGGGGTTCGAACTCCCCTCATGCCCCGGGGAAGAAGAAGAAGAGAACGGGGGGGCCTAGGCCCGGGTCCAGTGGACTGCTCCCGCCCCAAGCCCCGAGCAAAGCAAAGCGAGAGAGAGCACAATGGAGCTCGGAACGAACGCGCGACCTTGCAGAATACGGGTGAAAGGGGGAGCTTCCAAACAGTGTCATGACGTTTACCACGGCTCTTGTGCTTTGTCCTGTGAAGAATGGAAGCAAACCCCGAAGACACTTGAAGACACCCCACGACGCTGCAAACCAGAAGGAGTTGTTCCCAGAACAATACACTTTTAGTCATTTCAGTGTAGCTCTATTGGCATATTGGGAACAACAACAACCCCGAACAAACACAGTGCCTGAAGCAGTAAACCCGTTACAACCGATGCTGCAACATAGGTTCGTTTTCGTACTGCACATATCCGGGAAACTGCGTGTTCAGGCCCGAAAGACACATAGGCTTAATACTTAAATTTGGCTATTTCGGTCGGAAACATCATCTAACCTTCACTCCCCTCTAAGAGACCCTACAAGGCGGGCGGGCCGCAGTGCCCTGGGGGCTTGACTCACCCCTCAAGCCTGGGAGAAGAAGAAGAAGAGAGAGTGCACACGGCCCGGCTCGCTTTTGTCCAACTGCGTCACTCTGCACGATACTTCGAGCACTTGTCGGCAACAGAGACTGGCTCACTGCTCACTGAAGCCTGGTTGTTGACAGTTTCTTCCCTCCTCGAGGAGGGCGACTCTTTCTTGCAAGAGCCGGCATTTGCCTTTCACCAAGTTCACGGCAATGATGCGGTTGCCCTCTCCGAGGGTGCAGAAGAAAGCACCCAGGGGCTACACCGATACAAAAAGCTCGACACTTGCTTCGTGAACTGAGGGGCAGACTGCCGTTTGTCGCTGACAACGATGGCCAAGCACTACGAGAGTTGCTTGCTGCCGCCATGTCGTGGCTGCAGCGAGCGGAGGGCACGACGGTGGAGGTCAACAGCCAAGGCGAGGAGGAGACACAGCCGCTGGCAACGGGGACCGACAGCTTATTTGGAGACCCGGGCAAGTGAGCCCGGGGCGAGCCGACGGCAGACGATATTGCCGAGGCATATGAGTGGCAACAGCCAGTAGAAGCGGAAGAAAGAATTCAGCCCAGAGGGAGCCGTCATGAGCCGTCGCAGACTCCCCCCCAGTTGTCGCTGTGATGACGGACTAGCACCTTTGAGTTGTGTTGTTTTCGTAAAGGGGGGAGTCACTGCCATGTACATTCAGCAACTGTGTGCACTGTGAGGTCCGTAGGGGGAACAGCTCCTGCGTTCTAGGGGGCAAGAGCACTGTACGTTGTTTACTTGTAATCCGGTGGGATCCAAAAGGGAGTGCCTGTTCGAGGGGGCGGCCATAGGGGTCAGTGCCCCAGGCTAGGAGACAGAGTTCCGGCTTCCCACTGAGGGGGTGCGTGAGCCCTAGTCCTAGTGTTCGGGTGTTGTGGTGGGGGGAACCTCGGAGAGAGAGAGAGAGAGACACCAACCAGTACTTGCACAGCACGCGTCTACATCACGAACACAGGCACGAAGCTCGCCTCACTGTAAGAAGATGCCTGGGAGGGGGCAACAAAGTATGGGCAAACGATCCAAGAGCATCCTCGAAACGGCGCTCGAGCCTTTGCCGGCACTAGGAAATTGTCTCTTGTCGGCGGGGCTTCCCCCGATCCGCTTTGCATGTTCGTGCTTCCGTGAAAAGCTGTTCCAGGCTGCTTGGGTCATGCAATAGCAATAGCATGAATGTCCAGAAAGTGGACGCGCATGCCGGCTGCATAGGTTCTGCAAGGTGTGACTCTGCTAAATCATGCTCGGGAAATGAGGCCGGGCATTTTGGACTCCCCAGGATCCTGAGAACAGAAAGGGGGAGACTTTGATTCCCTGCAGTACTGGCCAAGTTTCAACCAAGTCGTGCACGAGCTCACTTGCTGAAGTTCCAGATCGACGTTTTACAAGCTGAGGTCCAGACTGATCCGCAATGTCAGCTTTGCGACAAGCTGGGTCACGTGGCCAAGCACTGCCCTCTGCCCCTGCCCTAGAGCAGTTGCGAGTCGTTGGCTTTGCCATCGCTGTCTGATACCCATGTCCTCAGGCTCGCTGCGTTGATGCAGAAGTCAGTGCACAGCTTGGTTTCAAAACGATCTCGCAAGTCTCGGCGTCGGCCTCCTGAGACGAAGTGAACTGCAGGATGGGGCAACTGCTCGGATTCGGGTTGGTGGGGGATGGTTGATTGCCCCGCAGGTCCGGCAAGTGTCGCCTTTTCTGTACTGGCGGATTCTGGCGCTGCTGTGCTCCTGTGCTCCTGTACAGGTGCCAGGTTTGGGGGAGCCCGGCCTGAACGAGGCATTCTGCCGACATATCCAGACCCAGCCTCGGCGACTCGGCATTTCTTACTTTCTCAGGAGGAAGCTATCCAGGCACTGGCAGCTGCCAACACGGCCGGGTGCATGACCAAGGCAGCAACCGTGTGCAGTATTGAAAGAAACTGACCGCTTCAGTGTTGATTCTTAGCAAGTCTATTCTTTTAGCTGACGATTCCGCAGCGATTTCGCGCCCTCGTTGTGCATACGACTTTATGCATAGCTTTAAGCATCGAAGAGCCTTACAGTACAGCGTCAGCCTAAGATTATTATCATGACGACCCAGGTGGGCAATATCGATGCAGTCCGGCAGAAGCAACCATGGCCTCCCAGCTTCCTCTCGTTCCTCTACCCCTGGCACGGCCTGCGATCCTTCCGGGCTCCTGGCTCGGGTTTGCGAGCTGGCCGACAGGCTAGAATCGAACAGGACTGAGCTGCTGAACCTCCGGCACAGATTGCAAACAGCACCGCCAGCTTCCCCAGAATTATTCGCTCTCGCGAACGAGGGGGGAATCCTAGAGCAGCGAGCTCGCGAGGGAGCTGCCCTGGTAGCAAGACTACGAACTGAAAATTCAGCCGCGGCCTGGTCTGTTGATTGTGATCGCCAACGAATCCGGTCATTGCACAAGGACAGGCAACGGTTGCTGCAGGAGCTGGGTGGCTTAGAGCAGTCAGAAAGAAAGTTGCTGGAGTCTGCCAGAGAAGCTGACCGGGAGCTGGGCGTGGAGAGAAGACACGCGGAGGAGCGGACGTTTGGTCAGGAGACGGCTCTGGGCATCATTGCCAGCCGAGCTAGTTCGGCAGAGCAGCGTTGGAAAGATGCTGAAGCAAATGCAAGTAGACTGCGGGCATCAGCTGCGGAAGCAGAATCTGCCTCTGCCACCACCAGAAGCATTGCAGCCGCAGATGCTGACAGGTATGCCACTGAGATTCGCGAATTGCAGAAAGCCTTAGCGCGAGGCAATCAAACGTCACAAACGCTGCTGTCGTCTGAAAGTGGAGAGTCACGAAGTCAGCTTAGCCAGATTACACACCGGATGCAATGCGAAGAGGCAAGTTGCGCAGAGCTGCACAGAGTTCAACGAATCCTGTCAGAACAGGTAGAAGACAGCCGGCTGAAACAGGCAGAGACAGAGAAGCGCGCGTTACACGTAGCCCGTGAGCTCGTGGATTCTTCACAGGCGATTGCATGGCTGCAAAATGAAGTGGCCGTTCAAAGAGAAGCGTGGGCAGAGCTTGATGCCTTGCGCTCCCACAATGACAGTCTTCGCCAGCTGCGAGATCCTGAGAGGGACTTGACAGAGACTCCCGACCGGCAGAGCCAGTCCGCAGAACAGCCCGAGCTACCCGAGCTACGTGCAGTGAGCGAAGCTCTGCAACTTGCATGGGAGGGTGAGGCTAAAGGCCACCGAAAAGCGCAGCAGCAATTGCAAAGCCTTGAGATTTTGTGCTTGACGCCTGCTCGCCAACAGCTCCTTCAATTTGCTGGCTTGTCCAAGCAATGGAGGCACTGTCTCAGTCACTGGAAGTCTACCGGACGAGAGAACGACCAAATCAGCCAGTCAGCTAACGAGCCGATATTGTCTCCAGGGACAGAGGAGGAACTCCGTCATTCGGTTTCTTTGATGGCTGCGCGTGACGTTTGTGGCTGCCTTGAGAGTCTCGCACACGAAACTGTTCGCCAGCTGGTGCTTGCCAGGAACTCCGTAGATGAACGGCCTGGCAGAGCTTGGCAGGAGCCGCGGGCGGACACAGACAGGGGTCGTGGACCTAGGGTGCCCGCTGGTCAGATCCAGGCGCTTGAAACGGAGGTGGAAGACTCCGACGCGCCATCCTTGACGTCTTCCTCGTTGAGTCTGCCTTCACGAGAGGCAATGTATTCCCGAGTATCCAAACTTCGCCAAGGCCGAGCCATCTCGGCCTCTTCCGCCTCCCACGCATCCCATGTGCCCATGGCTTTGAGGGGCAGCGAGCCCGTCGCTGGAACAGCTGGACCTTTGTATCGCTTAGAAACTGCAAGTCCGCATGTGAGGTCTGTGAGAAGGAATATCGCAGGCCACTCTCGATTGAGTTTGGATTTCGAAGATCTTTTCGATGAGTACTCTGTACATCGCCCCAGACAAGCTGGAGTTTGACGATGTCATACACGTTCGCTTTCGGCAAATGCATACCACGCAAGGACGTAGAGTCCGCTATGGCAAAAAAGTGGCGACGGGTCAGGGCGTCTCAAGCCCTCAACCAACAACCGACCCCACAGGCGGAAGCAGGGTGCAGTGCGAACTATAGTTTTGGATCAGAGACCTCTTACAGGATGCAGTTGTCTACTTGAGTGACACTGTGCTAGTTGTCAGGACAGGTTTTGAAGGCCATTAGTGCGATTGTGGAATGACTCGTCTACTGCCGGCTTCGATGCTGAAGCCGCTTCGGGATCTTTTGCAGCATGCGTCATTCGGCACCGTATCCATCGTTCGTGTTGGTGTTGCGGCAATTTCGGGCTGGGTGCAACAATCATAAGGACACAGCGGGCGGACCAAACTCCCGGGCTGCAACATGTTCTGGGTGCCGTTTCCGTCGCAGATTTGCAGGATGGGCAAGTGGTGTATTCAAAGCGAGCGGCCCATGTTTCAAAGTGGCGAATCGTTGAGGGGAGATGTCAAAGTCGGAGTGAGGTCACGCTCTCCGTCCCGACCTCGAAGTGCTCCAGGTGAGACTCGCTCAGTGTCTCCCCGGAGCTCGAAGGCTGGGGCATGCTGGAATCCTGCGGCCTGAGGGCGCTACAACCCGTACAGATGGCAGGCACAGACACCATCCTCGTCCCCGCAAAGGACCCCCCGTGAGTCACCACGTACCAGCACCAGCGCTCCCAAGGACACGACGTCGCTGCTGTGATGTTCACAGGGTCAAACAACCTCGTTGCATCTGCAGGACCAAGCGCGAATCCTCGCCGCTGGGCCCATGGGCCCTGAGAGGTTCAAAGCCATGGAACAGGAGGGGATGCAAAAAAGGGCCTTAGGGCTTGATGCATCAAGTTGAGGGTTCGCTTTGCGTGCAGGATTATGCTGAACTTCACCAGTTCTGGGGACCTGTGTGGATCTGTGTGGGTGGGGCTCAAGTGTGATTTGGCATAGCACACAAATAGGCCACTAGCAAGCTCATGGACAACACAGTCGATGGAGACTGTGGGTTTAGTTCGCAGTATCTCAGCGATGTCTTCATCGCGAAAGTTCTGGAATGGCTCAGGAACTTGACACTGAGAGATGTGTGCCAACAGCAAGAGATGACATCATGTCAGACCATCTCGAAAGCTGTCGACGAAATCCTTCAGAATGCCACGAGGCAAACGTACCAACAAGCGAAAGCACTCAAGCAAAGAGCACAGGTCGAGGCGATCGCTTCACAGTGCTTGCGGTACATGCATGGTGGCTCTGCTCGGTGCGACATTGTTCTGGAGCTCGGAGCTGGCCAGGGAATGCTTGGACATGCCGTTAGCTTAGCCAGCAATCTGCCTCTCGTCGCAGTCGACCGTCGGAGTAACACCGATGCCTTGGCCCTGGCAAGCGTCAGCACCGTGAGGGTCCAGGCAGAAATCGCGGCTTTCACCACGTCTCTGTCTCTTCCGGAACGAAATCATGGCTCGTCGATTGGCGGCTCAAGACCAGCCGTTGTTGTCAAGCACCTTTGTGGCCACGGCTTCGACGAGGCGCTGGCCCTGGCTTTGGTGTTGCACAGAGAGAGCCGATTCGGCCTCTTCTGCGGCGCTCCCTGCTGCCACGCCACGATGCGCTGGGCTTCATTGAGTCCCGAAGTGTGCCGGTGGCTTCGGGAGCTAGGCATGCCTGGAACGCACGGAACGCCCGACGAGGCCGCGAAGGCGTTCTCCCTTCTGACAGACATCATTCGGCTTTCCCGCGTCGGAGCAGGCTCAAAAGCATGTGGGAGATGGCGCCTTCGCCATCATGTCGACGACACGGAGGCTGCCTTGCTGGGTCGAAAGGCGTGCCGACTCATTGATGAAGGCCGCTTGGTCCACCTTGAAAGTCAGGGGTTGACAGTGAGGCTGTTGGAGTACTGTCACCCTTCCCTGTCCCCGGACAACGTTTTGGTTTTGGCCAAACCAAAAGACTTTGTGGACGGGGCTGAACTGCCACTGCCATGGCCCGAGCCTGGTGCAGGCTCTTTGCCGCCTCCCTTACCACCTTTGTGCATTTTAATCGAGCTTGATCCGACGGCCGCCCACAGCCTTACGTTCCGAGTCGCTGCCGTCCTTATGGAGATGAAAGCATCGAGATCCTTGCCGATAACAGTGGCTGGTGTTGCAGATTCAACCCATGTCCTCGCATGCAGCGTGCTTGGCACTGACCCGTCCGTGCTCACTGACTTGCTGCAGTGCCTGGGCCACAGCCTGTTGCTGCAAAGGGTTGTGAGCCGCTATATGCCCCTCACAAGCACCGCTACACAACTCTCAGATGTTGTAAGGGCTGCGCAGAGCGGGCTGCATCTCGGTTTGCCCACGGCAGCGCAGTCGACACTTAGGGTTTCTGCCCGACCAAGATCCGTCGAGCCCGATCTTTGCAAAGCACTGCCATCACAGGTGCTAGACCCAGTCCATTTCACGCATGTCCTGACCTTGTACCATGGCCACGACTTCCGCTATTCCCTGCTGCCACGTAGCTGGTTCGATCCGTCCGCCTGGTCCAATTCCAAGCGTGAGGCGCACAAGGAGTCGAAGGTTGCATTCCGCTTCGTAGAGGCTGGGCTCCGCTGCAGAAGGCTTTGGAAGAGTGACGCCGTAAGCGCTGTGACCGGCGTGGTGATTTGGAGCGACGCGAAAGAAGCCAAAGCGGACGAGCAATGGATACGCTTCGCAAGCAAAGTTTGGGGCTCTGAGATTGCGCTGGCAGAGCTGCGCCCCGCCTGCAGCTCGGGCCGCTCCGGCTGGGCGGCAAAAGTTGAGACCTGCAGCGATATTTGTCTGGTTCCTTGCAGGGGGACTTGGTATTCGCTTGAGGATGGCAGGCAGGGGGCCTCAGGTAATCTCCTTCTGTTAGATGCAAGTAGCACCAACGAAGAGGCGATTTTGTTGCTGCGAAGGATTTTGCAGACTGTGCTAAGAGCTCCTTCCCCAGCTCTCGACAGATGTGGAACTGCAGTTCTGAGGCTACGCTGTGGACGTCGGCCACGTGCCGTCAAACAATGGTTGAAAGACATGACTCATCTGATTGAGGAGATGTCATCCAAGTTCAACAAAGTGGAACTTCTCCACTTGCTGAGTGACCGCGAGAATGAGCGCACTGCAGTTTTCTCTTGGAGCGGCATCCCTACGGAGACTGAGACGTGCAGCCCTGCGAGCCTTGCGAGCGCCCTGAACGAAAAGCCTTCCAAAAAAAGCTCACTTTGTGTCGGGACCGGTCGAGACCAGCATAGCAAATTATGCTCAGGAGCGCGCGGCTTTGTCCGAACGAATTCGTGATGGACAGGGTAAGCCGCTTCTGTCTCAGATCCGCCTGCAAGTATGTTGAAGGCAGAAGATGTCCGACCTCCCGTCATGTTGGCAGGGTGACTAGGAGTTTGGTTGATTGAGGCCGGAGCAGCGCAGTGGCTTCTTGTACGGCACGTTTGTGCAGGGTGGTCACGACAAGCATCCCAATTGCATTTGAAGATCTTGCAGGAAACACGGCTGAACTGGGCCTAAACTCGCACATGCAACAGTACCCCTCGCCATCCCACGCCCAGGCACCGTTTCAGCTCGGATCGGGGTGCTCGCTCAATGTACAGGGTCTACCGAAGCAGCGTCTCGCAGGACTTGCAAAGCTGTACAGATAACAATCCGTGCTTCCTTCGAGTTCCGGCATGATCTGAAATTGTCCGTAGCAGGAATCAGCGATGGATCCGTCGGAGCTTCGATCAGCCAGTCGGGGTCTTTTTGGGGCCTATGCGCGGCAAGCCGACCGTTTTTTGCCTGCATCAACTGTTTCAGGCCGGAGAAGTTCTGCGGCGCCTCAGGATGAGGCCGAGGCTGCAAGTCGGCAAGATGTTTCTGCCGACCTGATCTCGTGCAAGGAGTCCGACAGCGATGAGTATGAGGCCTGTTGAACTGAAGCCTGGTTCATGGTTCTGATTCGGACAGAATCAGGACCAGTTTCGCTGTCACGTAACGTGGGCTTTTCGCTGTTGCATGCCGAGCATGCTGGCGGAGTCGAAGGTGCCACAGGATTGGTGGTGTTCAGGCTTACATCCACGCCAGCTTCCATAATGGCTTTAATGTCGTTTCCATGTCCAACTGGCATCATTCCATCAAGCTAAAGGACTTTGCAATGACATTTTCGATGTCACCACGAAGCCGCGTATTCACAATTAGACGAGCGACTTGACTATACCCGTATTTTCAAACCAATCAGCTGAGCAGGTGCCAATCAACAGGTGTGTGGGGGTTTTGGAGTAGAGGGTGGGCAGTACAGAGGGAAGGTACTAAATAGTTGAAGAACGAGAAGAAGCGGCAAGAGACGAACTATTAAACGGCGAATGAATGCAAGAAATTGATATGGAACGGACAACGAACGCGAGAGAATCCCAACACGGAAGAAAGCAAGCCTAGATTGTTGCGAGGCAGATAAGAGCGTGAAAGGTCAAACGGAAGCATGGGACCTTGCGGTAAGAGGCAGCTGGGAGCTTCCAGCAGGGTCAGATGTAACATCTCGGACAGCACTCGCAGTAGGCTTTGCTTCATTGTGCGAGGCAAACCAGAGGCCATGAAGTGGTATAAACTGTATAAAATCTGTTCATACGCAAACAGCGAGGGGGCAAGTCAAAGCAAAAGGACATGACGCAGGTCTATGAGGCAGGAGGGAGGGAAACCTTTTATATTAAATGGCGAGAGAAGGGACGCCATACAGAGAGCTGCCTGCATTCTCGACTTTTCTACTGAGTAGATTGGTCCTTGCACTCAATGACGGGAACAGCAAGTCTTTCTGGTCATGGAGTTGCGTACTCAATTAGCCGCGTTTTGAACACCGAAACATCAGGCTGTAGTCAACTGTTCAACCGAGACACCCCGCAATGCGGGCTTCGTCCTTGCTAGGTAGGAGGGAAAAAAATGGCGAGCACATAGTCGGTACACACAATGTACCAAACAAAGTACTGCAACTTCGTGTCGACATGCCACCGAGTCATAAACTTGCGTTGAGTCGTCGACGGTGTGGGCAAGTTATTTTTCCGATACGTAGTCTTCGTTTCAATTGTCAGCACATGCCTCAAACAATCGAAGGCTCCCAAACCTCGTTTGTTTCCGAACGCGTCCTCAGATGTATTTCTGTTCACGTAGGACAAAGGTTGAAGTTTTCTCCAAATGTATGCGATGCCTGAAGTGTTGTTATTCGGGTAATTCATGTGGCTGTACTATGAGGCCCTCGCTAAGGTTCTGGGTGTGGTTGAGCAGACCTGAGCTGGCCTGAGCTTCCTTTACAGTGATTTGCATATGTTGGGAGCCCGCTGAGCTTTTTAGATTTGTTGCAAGCAGAAATAGCGAGTTGTTCTGTTGCTTGGCCGTGGGGAGTAGTTGCCTTTCTGATTTTATGACTGCTGCAAATGTGGAGAACAGATGGCAGTTTTTTCCCGGTGTCCTGGAAATCGTCGCAGCTTCGTAGATTTTTCGCCAGGCCGATGGCTGCAAGTGTTGCCATGAGCAGCTGCGGGCTCGGTTGCACCTCGAGCCGAGCGGGCCTAGCGGCTTAGCCAGTTGACTCCTAGAGGCCTCAGATCGTCGTGATCCCGGCGGGCTCGGCAACGGCTGCAATTCGTGGACAGAGATCCAAGGTCCAAGAGTCGAAGGCCCATTTTCCCTTCCTTTGCGCTGCGGCTGGGCATTGCAGGAATCGAGCGGCAAGGACACAAGTCGAAGGCCGGCCTCGGCTTCGCCCGGACCCGTTGCATCCCGTTGCCACCAATGCTTCTGTCAGCCCTTCGCCGGCTTCAGCTAGATGAGATGATCGACAAACCGTGAGGTGCCAGCACTCAAAAGGTCAATCCACTAAGGCTAAGGGCAAATACCGGAGACGATTAAATGGATTTAACACACTGTAGCCTTGTGCAACCCTTGGCCTGGGCCTCTTGCCCATGACGCTTTTTGTGCATACTTGCAGAATACGCCACAAGTGCCTGTAACAAAGCACATCGAGCTGGCATAGAGAGTTTTGTGCGCTGCGGATTCGCTATTGCCGCGGTGCTGACGCGAAAATGCCTAAGGCATTCTCGGAGCCATCGCATAGTACAATGCTTGCAGCTTTGGGGCCATGGCCGGGCTGCGTTTGATTGGTGCCGTTTGAGCGCCTTTTCGAAGCGGCTCCTTGAAGGAGACTCTCCGTTAACAACTAAGACATCTTAAGACTCATTCTGCGGGCGACGCCGGGGTGCGCCGCAGGTGTCTCGGTGGCGCTGCGAGGGATCCGTCCAAAAGATCTTGAACTTGCGCTGATACTGGTAGTGACTGGTAGTGCTGTTGGCGAAAGCGTGGATCTGGACAGCTAAACCAGCTTTGCAAGCCTGCAGCCGTGGAGTGAGCACGCTGATGTTTTCCATACGGCAGATGTACATGTCTCAGGCCCTCCAGCATCCTGCTCACAGCACTGATGTACCTGTGCAGATAGGATCAAAAAGGTATGCTTGTGTCGGTATAGTACCGAGATTCCACACCTACTTGAACATCACCGCCCAACACCAATTGTGTCGGTGTCTTGCCGGCGACTTCTTCGTCGCCAGTTCGTTTGCTCTTGTTCAGATGCAATGCCGTTCTGCTGCAGACTTCTCCGTCCAGCAGCTTCCTTTGGCGCCATGTGCGCACACACTGGCAGCTGCTTGCTCCGATAGGTCGCTGGAGAGCCATGAACCATCACGAACCTGCCTCAGTGCCGCATGCACGGCTTTCCCATGCGCCTCTGCCACAGGCCGCAAGGACATGGACCTGGATGACCCCTGTACAGGGATCCTTGCTGCCACACCGACAGCGCGAACTCCAGAAGTGTCAGGCTGACATTGAAGGGGTTCTGTCGATCTGCCTGGAAGTGTGAAGGTCTCATCTCTGTGGACGGTGCCTGTGTCCAAGCCCTTTCCACAGTCTCGCTGCGTCGCTTACCGGTTTGTCACACTCGGCTCGGAGGCTGCTACTGTAGCAACCTCTCCTGCCCACAAGGCATTCGGTTGCGATCTCGCTGACGGAGCTGACAAATGCTGTTTTGAGGCTGCGGAAGACCAGCAACCCCCTTAAGGCAACCCGTGTGATGGAAGACATGCACGAAGCTTTGGCTGAGGTCCGGGTGTGAAGAAATCCAATCGCGGAGGCGACATCATCGTAGAATGTGCCCAAATGCCTGCATGGGGCTGCTCGTGCGCAACAGGTTGGCACTCCAACACTTCCGCAAGAGGCTTACTCAAATGTGGGTTCGTCAATCTACTTACGAGTCCACCTCCTGGAGAGGCTTGTTAGGCTTACGAGTCCACGGCATCCCCAAGCGACGCAATCCCTTCATGCTTTTCAGCCTTTGAGCTGACTAGGACTTAATTTTCATTTTTGGATTCACAGAAGATATTGAGGTACTTGTCAATGGCTCTTTCCTGAGGTCCTTGATGCGGTATCTCTGTCGCTAGCACGAAAGTTGCGCCTCATCCTGCTCGGTGCAGCAGGCGTCCTGCTTTTGCTTTTCACCAGGTCTGCTTAGACTCAAATTCAGACATCCTGTCATGCCAGGTCAGTACATCAGCCAAGTCACAGAAGCTGTCTCCAACATTGGTAGTCAGCGTCTGACTGGCGACTGCGCCTGAGACCTCTGAGGCATGTGCACACGTAAGCGCGCGAACGAGGATGTGTGTGTGTGTGTGTGTGTCCATCCCTGTTCCGAAGGGTCGCTTGTGTGTCATGCAGGGGGGCAAGGGCTCCAGTGATTAGCCTTGCCCAACGAAGCCAAATCACTGGAGTGGATGCAGTGGCTGATCACCACTGTGTACCTGCTTTCGGATTAGCCAGTGGGCCCCCTGAGGCACTGGAGTAACCAACACTAGAGTGACAGCTTCACGTTTGCCACTGTCGAGTTTCCTGCATGGTTGCTGCAATCTGATCATTCAGGTGTGACTCAGAGCTGTGTTTGAGTGAGGGCTTGCTTTGAGCTGCTGACTTTTCCTGACAGTATGCACCGACAGATCAGACCTGCGACACGATGTGTCAAGTGTGCTTCACAACGGCATTCCCTATGGGCGCCGTGTCTCCCAGAGGTAGCTCTGGCGTTGACTTTCCCGATTGACTGTATAAGCATTGGATGACTTTCCCTGATTCTATATCCGTGCTTGCAAGCTGACTTTCTCAGTGAGTCTTCACCGAATGCTTCTACCGAAACCTGAATGCTGACTTTTCCATTGACTGTCTATGATCAAATCGACTTTCCCGAATCTGACTTTTTCGCTGACTTGTCGCAGGTCTTTGGCTACAAATCGAGTACCTGAGCTGTACTTCTGGGTAGTTGCTGATCAGTTTGCCATGGATTCTTCAGGAAAGAGACGCAGTACCCGCAGTACCCGCACATCAACCCCCCCCCCTCCTCCCCCACCTCCACCTCCCCCTCCTTCCTCCTCCCCCTTCCCCCATCTCCCTGTGCCTCCCCCTCCCACTTCAGTCCCTGCCCCCGCCCGTGGTACCACAGCGAAGTGGATTCCACCCCCCCCTCCCCTTCCCCCTCCCGCCTTCCCCCCTCCACCCCCCACTCTTGCAGTTTGCCCGGCGCCTGCCTCATCTTCTTCTTTGCCGGTCCCTTCTGCATCCGATGTTGGAGCGAGAACTACAGATGTAACTCCTACCTTGATTGCTGCACGTGCTGTAAATGATCGGCAGATTCCACAGCAAGAGGTTCCCCCTGCAATCACTCTTCATGCAGACGGCGCAGGTTTCCGGTTGTCGTTTCGTTCGGTGGCTGATTTCGCTGAATACTCAGCGATCATGTCGGCAAACCTGACACATGTCCGAGGCCACAGAGATGTGTATGCTGGCCTTAACAATTTGCGTGACATTCAGCAGTCTGTTGTTTCTCAACAGAATCAGTCAATAGCCTCTGGTCAAAGCCAGCAGTCAGCCATCACGTACCAAACGGATGATTCGTCCCAGCCAACAAAGCGACTTCGGCAAGTTCCTGGAAGTGAAGTTTCTCTCGTTGCTGACCCTAACAGCATTCGACTTCGTGCAATTTGTGATCAGATTCCTGGTACTCATGCAGATCGTGTAGGGTGGCAGCTCAGTGCGGACCAGACTTACGTCTTTCGAGTTAGACCCTTGCAAGACTCGTATGAGCATTTTGAGAATCGATCTCTTCTCAAAGGGCATGTGGAAGTTGAGTGGGAGCAAGACTCAAACTTCTTCGTGATTCCTGAACTTCGTGGGTTGGAAGTGCGCGATGAAGAAGCGAAGCTGATACGCGTGTACTCATCTAGCTTCAATTGGGTCGCATTATACCCCATGTTTACTGCTCTACGTCACTTGATCAGTTCCAGCCCTGGCCGTATGAAATCGGCATGTGAGATTTCGGCAAAGATACCGGCCAATCTTGAGTTGCAGGTTCCCAGCTCTTTGATGCAAAGCACGGCGGACTATCTGATCAGCCTGTTAGGTCTTCCTCCCCACGCTGTCAATTCGACAGCATTGAAGTATGTCTCTCAGGCAATTGCAGCAGCTGACCAAGCCGCAAACATTCATTCTGTGGAGCTTCGTTCTTTGTCGAGTTCGTGCAAGTGCTTGAGCATCCACTTCACCCACTTTGAGAGGACCATGATCAGGTCGCATACTTCTGCAGCAGGGATTGCTCGTTCTCCTGTTGCACACAACACAACAGTGGCAGCGGCTGCATCAATCCTCCTTGAGGGAGCGATCCGACCATCTTGGTGGGATGCTAGTGACAGCAAGTGGTCCCCACCAATTTCCTTCTATGCTAGGGCCCACACTTCAGATGCAGAACAAGCACAAGAGGCAGCGGCCAAGTACGGTGGCATTCTGAGTGAGCGTCCGGTGTGCATTTTCGGACATGCTTTTAATCGTCAAGGATCCCTCACGCCTCCCCACTCAAGAATCCCCATGGGAGGAGTCGAAGGTGACCATTCCTGCAGCTACATTCGTGATGTTGCCCGTGCCAAAGATGGCAGATGGGTCTTTCGCTCTTCATGTTTCATCCCGGAAGCGCTACTTGTTTTTTGGAGGGTCTGAGTGCAACATGCTGCTTTGACCGGCCACGTCCTCAAGTCTCTTCCGTTGTCACCTGCTTTGCACGTACATATGTGTCGAAAACATGCCAGTTAAGATTGCGAGCTGTGCCAGCAAGGGACGTGCAAGTGTGTTGCAAGGGACGTGCAAGGGTACTGCAAGTGAGAGGAGCAAGTGTGATGCAAGAGTTGTGCAAGCGATGTGCAAGTGTAGCAGTTTGGCAGCAACTTGAGCAGGTTTGTTTGCCTACGGAGCCTTTTGATTCGAAGTGTCGTTAGCGATTCCGCGCACTCAGATTTGTTGATAGATCTGAAACCATGGCATGGAATGGGCAGTGGGACAACAGCACAGGGTACGGGAGGTCCCAACAATCGTGGGGTCAGCACCGCTATCAGCCGTATAGCTCGGGAAGTTGGACTGATCCCAACCTCTCCAAGTCTGCACCTGCTAGTCAGCCACCTCCACTACCTCCGCCTCCTCTTTCTTCGGCACCTTCATCTTCGCCATCTACTCCCATGCCATGTCATCAAGGTCCTGGTCTTGTTCCTGCACTACCGAATGGATGGGCGTCAGATCGTGATCATTATGATTCAACGGTGCTTCATGGGTTGTCCTTTCGTAAGTCCATCGAAGCCACCCCGTGGTCGCGGAAGAAAGGGATCGCAGGAAAAGACCCACTCAGCATTCCTGTTCAGGAATTCCTGTTTCATGGAGTTTCAGATTGGCGTCTTCGAGCATTGAGTCATGGCAAGTTTTTCAGTGTTGTGCCAGTTGCTACGGTTGCCGAAGCAGTGTTCATGTCGCAAGTGACGAAGAACCTTCGAGATCGCAAAGTTGACATCGATGCAGTTGCTACGCATCTCTTTCAGGCCGCTAATCCATCTACAATCATTCCCAACAAGAACACGGATTGTGCAGCTCTGTTTCAGCCGATGGTTGACAAGATCGTTCAGCTCATGTTTGACAACATGCCGGTGTCTGCAGGCGTCGATCAATCTCAGAAGTTTCTTCAAGTTACGGAAGAGCTCAATCGCCGCCGTGAACAGTTACAAGCCGCAGGACTTCCCGTTACCCCCACGAAACCCACTTTGAAAACACAGCTCCCGGTTGCCTCGCAATCTAGTGCTCCGTGTCCACAATCCAGAATGATCCGCCCTGGGGACGGGACTAGCCCGCGCGAAGCGCGCGAAGACGCGCGAAGCGCGCGCGCGAAGCGCGGGCGCGCGCGAAGCACGCGCGAAGCCACGCGAAGCGCGGGCGCGCGAAGCCGCGCGAAGCCGGCGCGAGGCGCGCGAAGCGCGCGAAGCCGCGCGAAGTGCGGGCGCGCGAAGCACGCGCGAAGCCGCGCGAAGCGCGCGAAGCCGTGCGAAGCCGCGCGAAGCGGCGCGAAGCCGGGCGCGCGCACACGCACGAAGCCTCGCGAAGCAGCCTGCGCGAAGCCGCGCGAAGCCACGCGAAGCGCGCGAAGCCGCCTAAAGCCGCGCGAAACCGAGCGCGCGCAGGGGCACGCGCGAAGCCATGCGAAGCAGCCCGCGCGCAGGTGTGCGCACGCAGAGTGCGCGCATGGCACGCACGAAGCCACGCGACTTGCTGGTGCTCAGCAAAGAGCCAAAGAGCCAACAGCAGTCAACAGGGTTCGTGCGCGCAGGTGCTTACGATGGCTTTTCTTGAATGAAAAATCGCAGTGCTGCGACAAACAGGAAAACCGTACACAGTTCGCTCTGCGTTCCCAAACCACAGTGTCCGAAATAGACAACAATTACTAATTACCCGTCTGGACAATGCCCGGACGTTTGATCCAGAAACGACACACTCGCAGGGTAATTACTGCACGGGGAAACATTTCTAAGCACACCGCTCGTGCCCTAAACCTGTAGAAGCCATACCGCAAAACTTACACACTCACACCTTATTCTTTGGACAAACCATGGTCGTGAAACATGTCCAACATCTTGAAAGAGACGTGCTCGCGGTGCACCGTACGCCGTACACAGTAACTGTTGTCTTGGAGCCCTGCGAAACGAGATCAGGGGAAGCATGGGGGAGGACTTATAGCTTGACTAATTAAGCTCGTCTACACGTCAATATGCTGCGAAGCTTCCATAGAGCCGCAAGATATTCCTGCGCGTGAACGTACAATATGTGTGGTTGAACCCCTGCGTCAGGAGTGAAGCGACGCACGTCTCTTCGTGCGCCAAGTAGGTTCGAGCAGGTCGTAGATCTGACATGTCGGGATCCCGCCAGCAAGCTCAGGACAAGAGTGCGGTGCATAATTTCAGCGGTTTTCCGTGCTGCACTGGTGCAGGGGAAGTGCCACGACGCCGCAAAAACCAGAGAGAAACGAGGTCTGCGACAGAGCATGAGAAGACAGTGCAAGAGGCAAGAGAAACAAGAGAGAGAGAGAGAGAGAGACAAACTCTTCGACGGAGTTACTACTGCACCGGTACAAGAAAAGCGACAAGAAAGCGCCAAGTAAGCAATGAAAGCTTGGCGACGGAACACCGCTGGCTTACCACTTTGCTACTGCTGCAACAGATTGTCAGCTCGGGTCAAGACAACATGCCATCAGAGG